GACCGCTGTGTGGTCCCGCCGCCCGCGAGTTCCGGGGCGAGAAAAGCCCAGTTCGTAAGTGCGGATCCAACATAAGTCGGATCCGCGTAACTCAGGGACTGCCTGTATCCTGTATTTTGATAATGGCCAATGCCATATGCTTCAGAGAATGAACATAATAGGTGATCATCCAGTGATCCATCCCACGTTGCTCATTCCTAGTGTCTGGCAAACAGAGGCTAGGGACATCTCCTTGCCTACCCTGGCTAGTAGCTATTGATGTGCCTATCCTCCATGAATCGATCTAGTTCCTGTTTGAACCCTGTTATAGTCTGTTTTATTTACCCTGTTTCTGTTATTCAGGGTGAACTGGATCCTTTGGCAACGATTAAATCATTGACTTATCTAAGGTATGGAATCTTAATATGTATTAACAGATCTTTTTAATTTGTATAACTATTCTTCCTATTATGCTTACTAAGGATGTAAAATCCCATTTAATTGGTTAACCAGTTAAACATAATGTTTATCCAGTTAACGAATTAAAGGAGGGGCAGGCAGGGGCAGTCACTATGTTTACAAAGTACTGTGTAAGCATTCATATGCATCTCTTGTATATTTTACCTTCTCAGAATTAAAGGTTGAGCTCTATTGTTGCAAAATACTCTAGATTAAATGTAAATCTCATGTTGTTCAGAAGAGGGAATTACATCAAGCCAGAAGATCAAATAAAGGTCACGAGCCAGAATTAAAAAATAAAGTTTAGATTTTTGTTTATTGTAGAAATATGACGACTAAATATTTCTCTCTTCGTTTTGAGAAGTGTGTAAGTTCTGTGCTAAAATCTTCTATAGTAAAATACACTGAGTTGGTAAACTAGATTCTACGAAAAAACTCACTCTTCGATAGAAATCGAGAGCAGTGTTACTGCATTTAGTTAGTGTGGTGTTGTAAAGAAGTTCTTGCATATTAAACTTTTAAAGAAGCAGTGTCTTGTATTGAGAGATCTTTAAAACCTTTCTTTACTTCATAGTGTTTTAAGGAACCCTGTAACAAATAAGAAGCATTACAGATTATATGTAATCCACAAAGTCCCACAAATAAGAGTCTTGGATTTCCAGAAAGTGAAACTAAAAGTAAGTGGTCTTTTTTCTAGTCTCTGTACAATTAGGATCTTTGAGTTAGACATTTGCTTTTGTTTTATTTGATTGAAATGTAATGGTGGTGCAATCTATTCCATCCCCCTAATCTTCCAATGTTTGTAAGATGCATTTACATCAAAACTAGTGTCTAATGAAATACATATTTTGGGATACCTTTCACTTCATCAGTTTACTGCTTTCTTTTGATTTTCTAAGTACAGTTTCTCTCTTCTCTGCCCCCTTTTTCGGTGTCTTGAGTAAAACAGCAGATCTTTAGTGTAAGAAATAGGAAATCTTAATACAAACCTGCTCGCCATTTGACAACGAAAAGGTGGGGAAGATCTTCCTCTGGGAAGTATCTTAGAGTTTAAGCTTATTGTCGAAGTGCTTCTAATTCTAGTGTTCAGACACCAGTTTCTGCTGACCCAAGGAGACTTCTGCCTGTTTATTTTCAAGGAAAAAAGCTAATGCAAAATGCACATGATGTTCCTATTGAAATTAACTTTATGTGTGTGGTATCGCTGTAGGAGCGTCAGGAGGCAGAGAAAATGTTCAAGGGCAAACGGGGTGCACAGCTTGCAAAGGATATTGCCAAGAGAACAAAAACGTAAGATAAAGATAACCCATTTAAACTGGCATTTGCCTTCAGAAACACCACCTGGGTTTCCCTGTGCAGCAGCAGAGCATAAATTGAAATGCTGCTTGTTGCCAGGGTGTTTTTAATATCTCCGGTGGCGCATCACCAGATATGGTGGCTCAAAACATCCTAATCTTGGATGGTGGTGAATACTGTTGCTCAGAAACGTTTTTTTTTTTTTTTTAAAGGGGACTTGTTTACAGTCCATGCAGCAGCATTCAGCTGTTCAGCAACATCCAAGTTAATAGCTTAAATCAAATGCAGAAGGTCTGCTTCTCTTCATGAGATAAAACAGTGGGAGGTGGGGAAGCTGACCTGCTGGTGTTTCTGAAGGAGGCAGTTCTTCATTGTATCAGTTTGTTAACAAAGATAAGATACTACACTTGATTGAATGCAATACTTCCAAAGTTTTAACTTTGGAAGTTAGAGAAGCAGATGTCATTCTTAGGGATGTTAATATTATTGCCTTTATTTTTCTTTGAAGTTTCAATCCAGGTGCAGGTTTGCCAACTGACAAAAAGAAAGCTGGACCCTCCACAGGAGATGTTGAAGCAATTAAGGTAACCTTTTTAGGACACTATGTAAAGGGAAAACAGAAGCAGGGAAGCTGCCTGGGATCAGAAATTCAGGCTATGTCTAGACAGAGGTATCCCGGAAAAGCTATGCTGCGTCCAAAGAATGCATCTGCTTTTCCGGAAAAAAATTCAGAAAAGCGGACGTGTTCTTTTGCCATCCCTGTAAACCTTGTTCTACAAGGCATAAAGGATGTGCTGAAAGAGGAGGTTTTTGCAAAATTTGGCCCCGTGTAGACAGAAAAATTCGGAAAAGCCTCTTCTGAAAGAAAAGCGGAAAAAGATACGCAAATTGCACTTCGCAATTTGCGTATTTTTTCCTGACTTTTCTTTGCAGTCTAGACATAGCTTCAGTAACATTAGGTACTCTTCCTACTGGTAACTGCTTACTAATAGCTTTCCAAAGACATAGAGGAAAAATTATGTTGTGATCACTTACATGCTGTATTTTTTACGTTTTGGGTTTCTGAAATCTTTTGATTTTTATTGACTGCGTGTCTTTCTAGTTTTTTTAGTGACATTTTGTTCTGAGTTTAGATTTGGCCACAAAGCAAGTCAACATAGTATTACTGTCAACAGTACAATTTTAATTGATGGTTCATGAAAATGTTCTTTATATATTAATCACAGCAGCTTATTAACATTGACTATTGATCAATTTGTTCTTCCCTTTCTAGAATGCCATTGCAAATGCTACGACCCTGGCTGAAGTGGAGAGACTCAAGGGTTTGTTGCAGTCTGGTCAGATACCTGGCAGAGAACGAAAAACAGGTAATCATATGCTTTTGTTACTTTTCTGTTTGTCACAGAGTGACTCAGTCATTAAAACAATATTAATCAAAAGCCTAATTTTTTAGAACTTTGCATGAATCTCAGTCAGTGGTTTGTGGTGGATGGGTTATGTAGCTGGAGAGGGTTAATCAAAATTATTCTATTTCCAGAAAGTTAAAGTATGTAAAAAGGGGTAGATATTTCATGGTGCACAAATCAGAAAGAGGCACTCGTAGACTCAGTGAAAGATGCAGGAATCTTAATCCAAATTAAACCCTTTTAGATGTAATACTTGTGAAGTGTAGTTGAATTTGACTAACATTGCTTGGATAAAATTTGATAACCTCAAACTCAGAAGCTTCATTTTTTGGGTCAGTTTGCTGATCATAAAGATATCGGGTAATCTGATATTTTTCAGACACTGGAAAATATAGTCTATGGGAAGTTTCTCAGTGGGAATAAAGCAAGATGCATATCAGACTAGGTAGTGACAAGATCAATTATATGGTGGGTATAAATTACAACTGTTCAGTAAAATAATTGAACCAATAATATAGGTAAATGAGGATCTTCAAATCATTATCCCTACTTTTTAGGTAGGATATAAGATTATTTTCCTTATTTGAGTGGTGTGAAGATTAGTGTCTGTAAAGTCTTGACAGGTATTAAATAGCTCTAATGAATCCATTTTGTAGGACCTGCAGAGGAAGTTGAGGAAGAGATGGAAGAAGACACAGTTCCCAATGGATCGTAAATGGTATCTTCAGATGATCTGAAGAATGTTTAGTATTGTATTATTGTCTATGAATACATTTCTATGTTGACATAGTGTTATGTTAACAGCATTACTCCTTTTAAAAAATGGGTTTTTGTTAGCTTGGGGCTTTCTGGACACTCTATTGGTGTGTTTGAAATTTCCAGTGCAAATTTTATACTGTAAATGAAGTCCAATAAAACACCAATTCCTTTCTCTACTGGCTTTATTGTGACAATTTATGCTCTGTGGACCTAAAATTGATTAAATATCCTCTTCTGTGTGTTTATTCAAAATACATTCTCTTTTCTCAGTTGCCTTTTCTTTAACTCACCCTTGAAATTTAAAAGACTCAGAGGTGTAGCAGTGTTAGTTTTTAAAGTGCTACAGGACTACTTGGGTTTTTCTTAAGTTATAGACTAATATAGTAAAAGCTTTAATGGGCAAAACTCACTTGCTCATCTGAGGAAGTGGGTTTTGACCAGGGGTGGGCAATAATTTTGGGCCAGAAGGGGCGGGGCCTAACCTGGAAGGGGGCAGGGCCAGGAGGCTTCACACTCTCCCCACCTCCAGGCCAATCAGGACCTGGGGGCAGAGGAGCTCCGTGAAGCTTCCTTCGCCCTGCCCTCACCCTGCATGAGCATACAGCACTTTGAAGTGCTGTGCGCTCCTTGCAGGGCGGAGGAAACTTTGCGCAGCTCCCCCACCCACAGGCCAATCAGGGCTTGGGGGCATGGAAGCGCATGATGTCTCTGCAAGAAGTGTGTAGCACTTCGAAGTGCAGCATGCTCTTTGCAGGGCGGGAGGAAGTTTCATGCGCTCCCGAGGCCCTAATTGGCCTGGGGGCAGGGGAGCGGCAGGGCCTCCATGGGCAGGATCAACCCACTTGGTGGGCCAGATCCAACCCACAGAGGCCCTTTTGCCCACCCCTGGTTTTGACCATGATACACGATATCTATAGACATATAATTTGTTAGTGTCTGAGGCGCTATAGGACTTCTCATTGTTTCCTTGTATCAGAGGGGTGGCCGTGTTAGTCTGAATTTGCAAGAATAATGAGAAGTCCTGTGCCACCTTAGAGACTAACAGATATATTGGAGCATAAATTTTTGTGGGCAAAGACCCACTTCGTCAGATGCATGTAGTGGAAATTCCAGAGGCAGGTATAAATATACAGGCATAAGAAAAGAGTACCAGTCAAGAGTAAGGCTAGAGCTAATGAGGTCAGTTCAGTCAGGGAGGATAAGGCCCACTTCTAGTGGAACTCTTTTCTTATGCCTGTATATTTATACCTGCCTCTGGAATTTCCACTACATGCATCTGACGAAGTGGGTCTTTGCCCACGAAAGCTTATGCTCCAATAAATCTGTTAGTCTATAAGGTGCCACAGGACTTCTCGTTGTTCATTGTTTCCTTAAAATTTAGCTATTGCTGAAGTCTTCACGTGATTTAAAGTCAGTTATTAAATATGAATATAAATATTGACAGTGCTATACACACAATTGATGGGAAAGCAAAATTGACACACGAATAAATTTACCTATGGTCTATAAATGGTTAGCTAAAATGTAATTACCGAAGTTTGAATTTAGTCAGGTTGCTAACCCTTATTCCACTTTTAAAAAATAAAGTTATTTAGGGCCAGGACTCAAAAGATGGCAGTATCAGTAGAAATTAGGTCATTGGTCCATTAATTCAGCAGTCATCTTTCTCATCAGAACTCATGTAACCTGCTACTGTGAAGCTGTCTCCCATCTATGAACTGACCCGAGGAGATATTCTAGTAGCATAACTGCACTACATATGCAATCACCCATTGAAGAGAGACTGTAATGGAAGATTACCTAGACATCTTGCACCACACTACCTTTTCAGTCACCAAGGGCTTGAAGCATGCTTTTAAAAGGTGTGAGTCAGCTAGTCAGTTGGATTTCTAAAGAGTAGTATGCTGAGCCATGTGGCGTGCTAATACAACAACACTTATGATTGCAGGCTCTTACCATTGTAAACCAATGAAGCACAGACTGTAATGAACTAATGCTATAAAAAAGAAAAACAAGACAGATGTGCCTAGGAGCAGCCTCCTTAGGATTGGGGTTCTAGATGTGAGAACATGGAACACTGATCACGGGGAACCCTAAAATGACATGAAGCCATACAGGCGAACTAGGAAGCCAGGACAGGTGAATGAATGTAGGCAAAGTGTCTTGATTAGCTATGAGGAACCCAATGCCAAAAGTAACAGCAGCCAGCCATCTGAGAAGATCCATATGCTGCAGCCTGCATTAAAATAGGGTTGCCAGATGCTTTTAACAAAAACGCCAGACACACCTGATATTACATCACAAGCTACATTACATCTTATTTAGAAAATACTGGACATTTATTTTTTTTCAATTTATTTACTGAACAAAAAGCTCAAATACTGGACCATCCAGTTCAAACCCGGACCCACAGCAACTCTGCCAGCAAAGGAAGGCAGAGAGGCGCAGGGGGACTTGTTAAAAAGCTGATGCTAGTGTGAAGGAGGCTTGAGGTGAAGGGGTAGGTGTTACAAGCGCCAAATCATGGCTGCCTCAGGCAACAGACGGGGTGTAAACGAGCCAGGTGCCAAGGGCTGGCGCTGGTCCAGTGCAGGATGCATTGCAAATGCAAAGAGGAATAAATGCTCGGTTGCTCAGACCAGGACAAGCTGCTGCCAGGCCCTGTTCCTGCAAGTCAGGCTGCAACGTCCAGGTCTGCGGAGAGACACCGAGGGCCACCAGCCCCGGGGGCTGAGTGATGGAGGCAGCTGGAACCCGGGGAGGGGGGCGCGCGCTTGGCGCGCTCCGGGAAACCTCAACACTGATAGAGCCTGGCGCAGGGTTCCTCTTCCCTGCGATTGGCGGAGGGGCAGCCCCCTTCCTTGTGGCTTGTCATTGGGCTGAACGTCCGGCACCCCCTTCTGATTGGCTTACGTGTCGGCGCCTCTCCTGTCCCTTGATTGGCCGCAGCTTTTATTCCTCTTCTTTGGATTGGTCCCTGCCTTGCTCAGCTCCACCCCCCTCTGCATGGCCATTGGCCGTCAGCAGCAGCGCTGTCTGCCGATTGGTGGAGGCCTTGACTACGTGTCCTCCTAGCTTGGTGAACGTCCGGCACCCCCTTCTGATTGGCTTACGTGTCGGCGCCTCTCCTGTCCCTTGATTGGCCGCAGCTTTTATTCCTCTTCTTTGGATTGGTCCCTGCCTTGCTCAGCTCCACCCCCCTCTGCATGGCCATTGGCCGTCAGCAGCAGCGCTGTCTGCCGATTGGTGGAGGCCTTGACTACGTGTCCTCCTAGCTTGGGGGTGGGCGGGGGACTGCTGCCGGATGCGGTGATCCCGGCGGCTGGGTCCGGCTCCGGC